TGCGAGTGCATGAGCCTGGCTGTCTGCATCGCTCTCTGTTTCTATGTGTCAGTGTCTTTCTGCACTAGTATTTGTGCAAGTTTTATAATTTTTCTCTAGTTATTTATGTTGTTGTTGTTGTAATGCTACCTTTGGTGTATACTCTTCTGAGCTACGAGTGTGTACAATCACTTTGACATGCACGCTGATAAGCTATGTATGTATAGAGAAAAAGTTACTTAGATCTTATCTCATATTTATTTTCTTTATTTTCATAACAAACTAAATATAAATACATTTTTTTTATTTTTATTTTTTTTGTTTTAATAAAAATTATTTTTAGTGTACCTGGGCTTCGTTGTGATGCGTTATTGCTATGGCTCCTACTATGACTACTTCTTTTTCCTTTTCTTCTACTTGTTATTTTATGCGTTCACAAAACTTGAGAAGCAAAAACAAAAACAAACGACATTTTCTGTATACGCGCCGCCGTCGCCGTTGCTGTCGCCGTCTCAGTTGCCGCCGCAGTCACTGTCAGCGTTGCTGTTTGTTTGAATGCGCCCACCCGCCCCCTGCCCTACCGACAAGCCAACTTAGTTGAGCCGTTTTTGCAGCGCTGCTGCTGCTGCTGCACTTACTGTTGTTGTTTTATACGTTTTCTTACACATATTTTTCTTTCTTTTTTTTTCATATGCATTTTGATATGCGTGTGCGAGTCGACGATGTTTTTTTTTTCGTCTATGTATGTATGTGTGTGTGTATATGCATACGTATATGTGTGTGTGCTCGCCTCGGATCAAATTTGTTGAATTGTTTATTTAGTACACTGTCGTTGCTGTTGTTGCGTATATTTTTTTCAGTTATTGTTATTATCGTTAGTTGCAGTTGCATTGCGCTCTCAACGTTTGCTTTGCTCGTTCGCTCTCACCCGCTCATTCGTGCACATTCCGTCAATTTGCCGTCTCTTTCATTTTTGGTATTTGTAAATTACATAAATTGTCTTGGACTATAAATTACGGGAAGATTATTATGGATTGCTGCTATGGCTATGTATGCATGTGTGCGTGTGAGTGAGTGTGTGAGTATGCATGTTTGTGAATGTATGCATGTGCATAGGTAGTTGCCGTTGTTGTTGGCTTTAGCTTGGTTCGGTTTTGGTTTCGTTTTGAAGCGAACGCAATAACCACAACAACAACAACAACAACAATGTATTTTTTATGCTTTTATAGAGATCTGCATTTAATGATACTCTGTTACATCTATGTATGTATGTATGCTGGTATGCATGTGTACGTGTGCATTTGTGAGGCAGAGTCTGGAAATGGATATGGTTATGTTAAATAGCAAGTTTTGCATGTGTCGTAAAATGCCAAGCGATATTTTTTGCCGCTGCTGGCAGCCAGACAAAGGCAGGGCAAAGGATCATTAAAAGATGCTGAAAATGCCTTTGAGCGTGCGCCTTTTACAGCGGCTGCACTCTTATCGGCCCAACTAGATTTGCAATTGGGATGACAGCGCAGACCTAAAACAGAAGGAAAGAAAAGCCACAATAGCAAAAGGTAATCTTATTAAATCTGTCTCTTTCGCCCTCACACTTGCATTCCAATGGATTCCAATTACTGGCATTAGATATGCGCTGACAGCTGCGCCTGATTAATCGATTATATTAATCGATGCATATGCCTAGCCTAAATGTCAATATGCCTGTGTGTGTGTGTGTGTGTGTGTGTGTGTGTGTGTGTGTGTGTGTGTGTGAGCATGTGTGTGTGTGTGTGCTCGTTAGATTTAAAGACGTGACAAAATGGCGCAATGTAAGAAAGTTATTAGCTACAAGAAGCATGAAAATGCGAGGTCATTAAACTGAAACAAGACTCAAAAAAGAAATGCAAAAAAAAGAAGAGAGAAAATGCGAAAAATATAAGAGCTGGCAGAATTGTATATCAAATTGAATCGCAATTGAAAATTTACAGCAATTATTAAACTTAATTAAATTTATACATACATGCATATGCATTTCTATCTCTTTCCCTCTCTCTCTCTTTTTCTCCCTGGGTGTATAAATATCTATGAGAACAATAAATAAAAACATGCACACACACAGAAAAAAAAAAAATTCTCTTGGCATTATCAACGTAATCTCTGCCGCAAGCTAAATCACAAACAAACCCACACACACACACACACGCAATGATTTAACGTAACTATTCCAGTGGCTCAGCTCAAGTGAGCATAGTTAATGGCAAACAACAATAAGAACTAGCGAAAGAGACAGAAAGATACAAATACGACAGGCGGCAGCAGCAGCAACAGCACATACACAAACTCACGCACACATACATACAAACGATGGCAGTAATAATAACAATAAATAAATTGAAGAGTTAAACTAATAACGAAATATGCACACACTCACACAGACAGGCAGTTATATCTATAGCTCAATATAGTGTTTGTATGTAAAGTAAACGTAACACACACATATACWAGCGCGCATATATTAAATACATACATACCTTTATTTAGTCGAAATTGCTATTTATTTTCTTCTACTACTACTTTGCCGTGCCTATGCTGCTGCCGCTGCCGACGCTGCTGCTGGTACTATTGTTGTTGTTGTTATTGTTATTATTATTATTAGTTGTATTGTTGTTGCCGCTGCTGCTGCTACTTCTCCGTTTCTTTTTACTTATTAGTTTTTCACACAAGCAGAGAATCAAATTGGAATGTGTAAAGTTGCCTTTTATTGTTCATGTTCGTTTCGTATTGTATTTATGTATGTGTGTATGTATGCATTTATTGATATTCATATATTAAAATTTATGTTATATGCCATATTTCTTTAAGGTGCTTACATAAATTTTGTTGAATTTGTTCTTTTCATTAATAATTTCTACATTTTTTGCACCTGCACTTTGCCGAATTTCACATTTTGTTTGCAATCAAAAAAAAAAAAAAAA